CACCGGATCAGATGCACGGTCGTCGGAGTGGCGTCTCTTAGGTGCGTGGTCGGGGGCGACGGATGAAGGGTCGCCGAGGAGGTGTCGTGTGGTCGGCGCGAGGTCCCAAGTTTGGCGGAGCACGCGGTCGTCGAGCCCGTCGACGGAGTGCAATGTGAAATGGTCGGATTCCAAAATAATAATAATAATAAGTTAAGAGTTTTTTAGAGAGAGGAATTTTGTAATAGAAAGAGAGAATGGAGAAGAGTTTCTTGAGGATGATGAATGAAGATGGAGAGGTAAGTATTTATAGATGGAGAGATTAATTTTGGTTGGTGTGTATTGGGCAATCTTGTCCCTTGATTTTGAAATCCAATCTAAGGTGGATATTAAGTCTTGGGGAGCAAGTTGGATGTTGGTAGGTGAAAAAAGAAGAAAGGTAAGCATGTGCTTGGGGAAGGTGGGCACATTTTTATAGGAGAGGAAGGTAAGAGGAAGGTGCACAAAATGACAAGAGGCTACCTTATACTTGTTTAGGTGGTCAAATGTCTAGGTGAGCACATGGGACAAAATTACACAATAGAGGAGACTTAAAGGAAAATGAAAAGTAAGTCAAGTAGCAGGGAGAGAGCCATACGTATTGAGATGGGTCGGCATCTACCGATTGGTTGACGCGGGTCTGGGGGTCGGCATCTTCATACGGGTGTTAGGTGTAATGGTCGGTAGGCATCGCGTGGTAGGTCGTCTCATGCGACGGGTCGGCAACGCGACGGGTCGTCGCGCGTGGGTAGGTCGCCGCGCATGGTGGGTCGACATCTGCGGCGGGTCGGCATCGCGGGTGGTAGGCGTGTCGGTCGGTCGGCGGTCTCACGTGGTGGTCGCGCGGCGGGTAGGCGTCCCGTGTGGTCGGCGTTGGTGCGTCGGGTTGGCATGAGCATCGGGTCGGCATTGGCGAGTCGGGTCAGCATAAGGACAGCCCGGATTGGTGGTTCGCGTCGGCATTATGAGCGGTCGGCACGCACGGTCGGCGTCACAGGTGGTCGGCGCCGCGGGAGGTCGACACCACGGGTGGTCGGCACGCTCAGGTTGGTCGACACGCTCGGTCGACGTCGTGGAGGGTCGGCATTGCGAGCGGTCGGCACGGGGGGTCGTCACCCTCGGCGGTCGGTATCCTCATGTGAGGGTCTCACGGTGGGCCGGCAATACGAGTGGTTGGCACGCGGGTGGTCAGCACTCGTGGGTAGTCGGCATCGCGCGGGTGGTCGGTGTCGCGCGGGTTGCGTAAGGTAGTCGTGATGCTTGTTACGACGCGTGTAACTGTTCATTCCTTACAACAAGCTCAACTTGTCTAAGGAATGGGGGGCTAGATGATGTGGTCGTGAGTAGCGGCTCATGAAGGACCGGTTGTGACCTGGGTTCTAGTTGCCCTCAGCTGGGTGGTTCAATTTGGTAGGCGGATGCTTTGGTAGGCGAAGGCTTGGGTAGGCAGATGCATTGGTAGGCGAATGCTTTGGTAGGCGGAGGCTCATGATACCTTTGGAGTACATGGGTGGTAGGTGGAGGCTAACCCAACGTGAGCTAGGCAAGCCACCTTGACACCTAGGTAGCTGGACGTTTCGCTGGGGAGACTCGAGCCCAGGGGTGGTATCGTGTTCAAGTCATGAAGAGGTTCGCAACCTCAAGGATTCCTAGGATTTTGACCTAATCTGGTAGGAAGACTCCTATTAAGATAAGAACTCTTCAATCTCTAGATGACTTCATTTATAAAAGGGGCGCAAGTTATTTCATTTACACAACACACACATACAAATTCTCTCGTTACTCTGCCGCTTTTTCTTCGGACCACCACTGACTTGAGCGTCGGAGTGTTCGCGCCGGGACCACCCCCGGCGTGTTTTGCAGGTACCGGCAATCAAGGAGACGTAACCCAGTTCGAAGAGGAGCGGTCCAGGTTTGTGTGGTATAACAAACCTGCATACAGAAAGTAATGGTCAAACAGAAAAGGTTTGGTGGGTGGTAAATACATTAGTAAAGAAACTATCATTTTCCAAATTCAGGAAATGAGAGAGGCAATATGACGACTACAAATAGCGATGAAGGTATTTCGAAAAGGAAAATAAGGAGCTGATTACAGGGGAAGGGACTGTAATATTGGCTATTGCATTGCCTTAATGAGATCACATCATCAAAAAGCCTTCTAATTTTCCTTTTTTATTTTATTTTATTTTATTTTATTTTATTTTATTATTTTTTATTTTTTTATTTTTACCTCCGGTCCTAAATGTGCTTCAGAAAAATCGTAAGGCATACTTTGAGGGAAAATTAGCCAGAAAATCAATTGACATACTCTGAAAATTAGAAGTATCTGGCCTCTGTATGGTAGAAACTGTGAGCACTATGCTGAAGGGGCATAAAAACTCTGCTATGCTTTCTGTTGGATG